TGATGTTATTTTGATGGGAATTGCATTGAATTTATAGATTGCTTTTGGTATTATGGTGATTTTCACAATATTGATTCTACCCATCCATGAAAATGGGATGTGTTTCCATTTGTTTGTGTCATCTATGATTTCTTTCAGCAGTGTTTTGTAGTTTTTCTTGCAGAAGCCTTTCACCTCTTTGGTTAGGTATATCCTACATATTTTATTTGTTTTTGCAGCTGCCGTAAAAGGGGTTGAGTTCTTGATTTGATTCTCAGCTTGGTCACTGTTGGTGTTACTGATTTGTCTACATTGATTTTTGTATCCTAAAATTTTACTGAATCCATTTATCAGATCTAGGAGCTTTTTCGATGAGTCTTTAGGGTTTTCTAGGTATATGATCATGTCATCAGTGGATAGCAATAATTTGACTTTCTCTTTTCTGATTTGGATGCCTTTTATTTCTTTCTCTAGTCTGATTGCTCTGGCTAGACCAATATCCCTGATGAACATGCAAAAATACTCAATAAAATACTAGCTAATTGAATCCAACAGCGTATAAAAGATAATCTAGCATGATTAAGTGGGTTTCAAACCAGGGATGCAGGGATGGTTTAACATACACAAATCAGTCCGGGTGTGGTGGCTCATGCCTGTAATCCCAGCACTTTGAGAGGCTGAGACGTGCAGATCACTTGAGATGAGGAGTTCAAGACCAGCCTGGCCAACATGGTGAAACCCCATCTCTACTAAACCCACCCCCCAAAGCCAAAAAACAAAAAAACACAAGTCAATAAATGTGATACACCACATAAACAGATTTTAAAAACAGAAATCATATGATCATCTCAATAGATGCAGAAAAATCATTTGACAAAATCCAGCATCCCTTTATGATTAAAACTCTCAGCAAAATTGACATAGAAAGCCATCTATGACAAATCCACAGCCAACATTATACTGAATGGGGAAAAGATGAAAGCATTTTCCGTGAGAACTGGAACAAGACGAGGATCCCCACTTTCATCACTTCTATTCAGCATAGTACTGGAAGTCTTAGCAACTGGTAATTTCTTAGAGGTGAGATACAACTTGAATCCCTATCGTTAAATATTTGTATTCTGTTACATTAAAATAGATTGGTCTATCTCGCTCATTGAATGGATCTTGTACTAACGACTAATGTAGTGGTGGGATCATAGCTCACTGCAGCCTCAACCTACCACCTCAGCCTGCCAAGTAGTTGAGACCACAGGCAGGTGACACTACACTCAGCTAATTAAAATTTTTTTTTTTTTTTTTTTTTTTAGCTGGGAGCGGTGGCTCACGCCTGTAATCCCAGCACTTTGGGAGGTTGAGGCAGGCGGATCACGAGGTCAGGAGATCGAGACCATCCTGGCCAACATGATGAAACCCCATCTCTACTAAAATACAAAAAAATTAGCTGGGTGTCATGGTGGGCGCCTGTAGACCCAGGTACTTGGGATGCTGAGGCATGAGAATGGCGTCAACCTGGGAGGCAGAGGTTGCAGTGAGCCGAGATGGCCTCCACTGCACTCCAGCCTGGGCCACAGAGCGAGACTCCATCTCAAAAAAAAAAATTTTTTTTGTACAGTCGGGGGTCTCCCTATGTTGCCTAGGCTGGCCTTGTACTCTTAGACTTAAGTGATCCTCCTGCCTCGGTCTCCTAAAGTGACAAGATTATAGGTATGAACAACCGCGTCGTGCTGCTACTAATTTTTTTTTTTTTTGAGACAGACTTTCACTTTGTCGCTCAGGCTGAAATGCAGAGGTGTGATCTCTGCTCACTGCAACCTCTGCCTCCTGTGTTCAAGCGATTCTTGTACCTCAGCCTCTCAATTAGCTGGGATTAGAGAGACCCACGGCCATGCCTGGCTAATTTTTTGTATTTTTAGCAGAGATGGGGCTTTTACATGTTGGCTAGGCTGGTCTCGAACACCTGGCCTCAAGTGATCTGCCTGCCTCGGTCTCCCAAATTGCTGGGATTACAGGTGTGAGCCACCATGCCCAGCCTGCTACTAATTTTTGTATGTTGATTTTGTATCCTGCAAGTTTACTGAATTTGCTTATTAGTTCTAATAGTTTTTTGGTGGAGTCTTTAGATTTTTCCAAATGTAAGATTATATCATCTGCAAGCAAAGAGAATTTGACCTCTATTTCTTTCTCTTGTCTAATTGCTCTAAGTAGGACTTTCAATACTATGTTGAATAACAGTTGTGAAAGAAGGCAACCTTGCTGTGTTTCATTCTTCTATATGTGGCTTACCAATTATGCCAGTTTCATTCTTCTATATGTGGCTTACCAATTATCCCTACACCATTTGTTGAATAGAGTGTCCTTTCCCCAGTTTATGTTTTTGTTTGCTTTGTTGAAGATCAGTTGACCATAAGTATTTGGCTTTATTTCTGGGTTCTCTATTCTGTTCCATTAGTCTGTATACCTATTTTTATACCAGGACCATGCTGTTTTGGTGACTGTGGCCTTGTAGTATAGTTTGAGGTCGCTTGATGTAATGGCTCCACATTTGTTCTTTTTGGTTAGTATTGCTTTGGCTATGCATGGTCTTTTTTGGTTCCATATGAATTTTAGGATTAGTTTTTCTAGTTCTTTGAAGAATGATGGTGGTATTTTGATAGGGATTGCATTGAATTTTTAGATTGCTTTTCACAGTATGGTCATTTTCACAATATTGAGTCTACCCATCCATGAGCATGAGATGTGTTTCCATTTGTCTGTATCATCTATGATTAGTTTCAGCAGTGTTTTGTATTTTCCTTGTAGAGGCATTTCACCTCCTTGGTTAGGTATATTCCTAAGTATTTCATTATTTTTTTTGCAGCTATTTTAAAAGGGGTTGAGCTCTTGACTTGATTCTCAGCTTGGTCGCTGTTAGTGTAGAGCAGAGCTACTGATCTGTGTGTGTTAATTTTGTTTCCTAAAACTGTGCTGAATTCATTCACCCATTTAGGAGCCTTTTGGATGAGTCCTTAGGGTTTTCTAGGTATTCAATCATGTCGTCAACAAAAAATGACGGTTTGACTTCCTCATTATCAGTTTAGATGCCCTTTATTTCTTTCTCTTGTCTGATTGCTCTGGCTAGGACTTCCAGTACTGTGCTGAATGAAAGTGGTGAAAGTGGGAATCCTTGACTTGTCCCAGTTCTTAGTGGGAATGTTTTCAACTTTTCTCCATTCAGTGTAATATTGGCTGTGAGTCTGTCATACCTGTCTTTTATTTCCTTATGGTATGTCCCTTCTATGCTGATTTTGCTAAGGGTTTTAATCATAAAGGGGTGCTGGTATTTGTGAAATAGTTTTTCTGCATCTATTGAGATGATCATGTGATTTTTGTTTTTAATACTGTTTATGTGGTTTATTACATTCATTGATTTGCATATGTTAAACCATCCCTGCATCTCTGGTAGGAAACCCATTTGATCATAGTGGATTATCATTTTGATATGCTGTTGGATTCTGTTAGCTAGTATTTTTTGAGGATTTTTGCATCTATGTTCATTAGGGATATTGGTCTGTAGTTTTTCTTTGATGTCTTTTCTTGGTTTTGGTATTAGGGTGATACTGGCTTCATAGAATGATTTAGAGAGGATTCCCCCCTTCTCCATCTTTCAGAATAGTGTCAGTCGGATTGGTACCATTTCTTTGAAAGTCTGATAGAATTCAACTGTGAATCTGTCTGGTCCTGGACTTTGTTTTGGATAACTTTTTAAATAACCATTTCAATCTCACTGCTTGTTATTGGTCTGTTCAGGGTTTCCATTTCTTCCTGGTTTAAGTTAGGAAGGTTGTATATTTTCAGGAATTTATCCATGTCGTCTAGGTTTTCTAGTTTATGTGAATAAAGGTGTTCTTAGTAGCCTTGGATGATATTTCGTATTTCTGTGGTACTGGTTGTAATATCTTCTGTTTTGTTTCCAGTTGAGCTTATTTGGATCTTCTCTCTTCTTTTCTTGGTTAATCTTGCTAATTGTCCATCAGTTTTATTTTATTTCTAAATTTGTTTATAATCGCAAAGAGGCTACATTTTTTTAAATTGACAACTCAATCTATACATACAGTATTTTACAAATTATAAGTGGATCAACAATTATATTAATGATACAAACTCATGGGTATTTACATAAAACTACTGCTCTAGGTTTTGGTGCCTTTTGTTCTGGCTACTTTAGTGATTAAAAGAAACATAAAGGAACTCAGCTACTTGAATTCATGAGAATTAGCTTTCAAAAAAAGCATATATGTCATCTCTTAGAATACTTAATATGTCAAACCCAGGAAAAGCAGTAAATGACAAAAGGAACACTTTTAAAGAAAAGATGATAAAAATGTTAGGTTAAAATACTGTTTAAGAACTTTAGCAACGAGACTGAGAAACCAGAAAGTGTATGCATACTGGGAATTTTAAGAAAAGATCCCCGTGTTCTCCTTCACCCCATTCCAAAAGCATACTTCTGTATTGCTACAATGTGTTCTCTGCTACAAACCATCGTTTCAAAGAAACATTGAAACAAGAATTGAAACAAACATTTAAAGAAAGAAGATGGTAATTCACATAAAAGGGTTTTAAAATATTCTTCCCAGGCAAAATAAAATAAAATAAAAGTAATATGATCTCCATCAAATTATAAAGAAATTCTATCAAAATGTTGACCAGATAAAGAATCCAGACCATTTGCCTTCACTGTCTGCCTCAGGACGTACAGCATATGTGTCACCTGCAAGAAAGGGGAAATGGGGGTAGAGTCCCCACTCTCCCCTGTCTGTGGAGTTGGGTGGACAAAGGCCCTTTGGCTTCCCTGGGGTTTTGCCTCCTCACATAGGGAATTGAGGGAGGTGGGCTAGATGGCTTTAAGAGACTCCTCAACTAAAAGAATCAAAGTCAGCTTGAGATCCCATCTCTGAGCAGACATATAGGGTGGCAAAAGAAATCGATTAAAAAATGGGTGGATGGTGTCTTTCTCACCTTTTGATACCATCACTCAGAACTAATCTGTACTATAGTTCAAGAAAATCTTTGCCCCATACCGTTAAAGGGTATGCAATAAGGCATCTGACAATAAATGTTTGATAAAAATGTAAAAAGGCTATGTTAAGTTTGGGTGGAAAAATAATGCAACATCATGTTACTACCAGCAGTCAGGACGTCTTGTCTCTGATTTTAGGAGTAATTGATCTGGTTGGGAGAAATGCTGAGGGAGATGCATGTTCAAGTCATTCGATAGAGATCTAAGGATTGCACACGTTCAAGAAATGGATAAACAGGTGCCCAGGAAGGCAACTTTAATGAAACTGGTTCTAAAACAAGAATGCAAGAGACCTAAATGATCCAAAGAGAGTGATGGCTTCTCATTTTCCATCACCTACAGAGAATACAAGTATCATAGTATCATTTCTTCTGGAATCTAACACACTGGCTTCATTTTCAAAATGCATCACTTTATTTTCCTAACAAGGCACCCCCACATTAAGCACGTGACAGTCACATGATTTCTTCAGTGAGCCCCAAGGCTTCCACAGCTTTCCTGGAGCCTATGGCCAGAAGAGTCCTGAGATTTCAAATACTAAAGCTTTCTCCACAGCCACAAGTTCCTTTCATGTTTGAAACCCACTGGATAATTTGTCTTCCACACAGTCTATTTCTGTTCCTAAAAGTGTTAGCTTTGCTTTCTTTTCAATGAATACTTTGACTCCAACTTGAATAACTTCTTCATCAGAATCTCCTTTTGTCTTTGTATATTCTAGAGCATAAGAAAGCTGTTGCATCCCCTGGTTTACACCTACATGCTCAGGCTTATTTTTAAGAAGTTGTTTTATCTTGTTTACTACCGAAGGTGTCAGGGTGAGGGCGGCCTGGGTGGGCTGCAGCTTCCTCTTGTTCAGAGCCTGGACAGTTGCCCAGACTAAGGAAGCCAACATCTTCATCGTCCCAGCGACCGGGTGCCTCGGGCTGGAGCTTGGCCGCCTCAGCTTCTCTCTATGGACACTGTGGGCGCATGGACGCTATTTTTGTTTGTACAATTCCCTGGAAAGACACTCTTACCCCTAGGTTTCCCAGGGCTCAGAGAAGGCATCCCTGGCACAGGGTTCATCTGGGGAAACTGAAAAGTCTTTTAGGCTCTGTCCTCCCAGACGCTTTGAGGTCAGATACAGATAAAGAAGGACTGCCTCTCTATTTCCACCATCAGTAGACTTATCACCACTCTCTGCAACTGATAGAATTAAACACAGTGTCAGGAGAGACAGAGAATTTTAACCATCCTGATTTACTTTTCATTTATGTACCATTACTTCTAGGAATGGAAGAATAAACCCCCATTCCACGAGGAATGGTACACGAGGTACACGAGGTACATTCATTGTGTAGTTCCAGGGCAATATACAGAGCTGGAAAACAGTAACAGCATAATAGTCATCAAAGTGTATTCTCTGACTACAATAGCATTAAATTAGAAATTAATACAAAGATGTTTTGGAAATCCTATTATGTGGAATGAAACAATGTATTTCTATGTAATTTCTTACATTTCTATGTAAATTAATTGCTATGTAAATTAAGAGCCAAAGACAAAATTACCAGAGAAGAAAGAAGATATTTTGAATTGAATAATCAGCAAAATGACATCTCAAAACATATGGAGTGAAGTTCAAGCAGTGCTCTGAGGGAAACGTGAACCATTAAATGCTTAAATTAGACAGGAGGAAAGACCTAAAACCAGTTCCATCCTAGGAAACTAGAAACAAAAGAACACAATAATCCCAAAGTTAAGTAAAGGAAGAAAATAATAAATATAAGAGAAGAAATCAAATAAACAGAAAATAGACAGCAGTAGAGAAAACTAACGAAGGCAAAACTTTTTTTGTTGTTCTTAAATTGACAAGGCTCTATTTAGACTTATGAAGAAAAAAAGAGAGAACAAAAGTCACCAACATCAGGAATGAAAAATGTATTATCACCGCAGATCCTACAGTCATTAAAATAATAGTAACAGAATATTATGAATTTTTAAAATCTATTTCAATGCAAAGGGACCAATTTATTGAAAACTAAAACAACAAAATTGAAAAAAGAAAAGTATGAAAAAGGAAAGAAAGAAAATTACAGGCTAATTTCATTTAAGACTAATGATACAAAGATCTTTAACAAAATATCACCAAGACTATCTCAGTCTACATGGTTAATTTAAAATCAAAACCAAAATCAACCAACCAACCAAACAACAAACAAAAAGAAAACCCAACACCACACTCCAAATGTATTATTATATATAAACGATGAAAAAAATTAAAAATTTTCTCCTAAGTACACTAGAACCAGAAACATAAAATATTTAGGAATAAATCTTACAAAAAAAAAAATGGTTAAGATCTCTGAAATCCAAGACCCTAGAAACCAAGAAACACTGTGGAAAGTGTATAGAGGACCCAAGGAAATACATTCCCTGTTCAGGGAGAGCAAGGCTCAACATTGTTATAATGTGATATTCTCCAAATTGATCCAGAGTTTCAAAAAAATACCAAACAAAATTCTAGGAGGCTTTTTGATAGAAATTTATGAACTGATGTACAAATTTATATGAAAATATAAAAGATCTAGAATAACCTATGCAATTTATTTTTAAAACTTTAAGAAGAGAGGCTTGCCATATTGCTCCAGGCTGGCCTCCAACTTCTGGGCTCAAGGGATCCTCCTGCCTCAGTCTCCAGTGTAGCTGGGACTACCAGCATGTCATCAATATGCAGCACAACTTACGGAATTTTAAAAAAGATGAACGAAGTTATAGCATTTATTTTCACTAAAAAAGCTGAGATAATTTATTACCTTAATAAATTTTGTAATACAATTACACTTATTAATTACTTTTAAAATTTCTGCTTCCCATCCCCGCCACCCTGGGCTTAGTGGATTTCCCAAGAAGGCTGCTTCCACCAAATAAGAACCTCAGCTGGCTATTTTATATTTCTATAAAATATAGTGGTGAGAGGTGACAGCGTGCTAGCAGCCCTCGCTCCCTCTTGGCGCCTGCTCGCCTCTGCGTCCGTCCGCTCTGGCGGCGCTCGAGGAGCCCTTCAGCCCGCCGCCGCGCTGTGGGGGACCCCTCTCTGGAGCTGGCCGAGGCCGGAACCGGCTCCCTCTGCTTGCGGGGAGGTGTGGAGGGCGAGGCGCTGGCGGAAGCCGGGGTTGCCCGCAGCGCTCACGGGCCGGCGAGGGTTGTGGGTGGGCGCCGGCTCCGCAGGTTCCCGGTGGGCGAAGGCTCGGCGGGCCCTTCACTCCTCAGACGCGGCAGGCTGCTGCCTGCTTGGCTTGCTTGGGGGATGAGCTCCCTCTCTGCTGCCGGAGTGCCCTGGGCTAAGCGCCACAAACTCCCGCAATGCCAGTGCCACTGAGAGGTGAAGTCAGCTGGGTTCCTTGGAGAACTTTTATGTCCAGCTAAAGGTTTGTAAATGCACCAGTCAGCACCCTGTGTCTAGCTCAAGGTTTGTAAACGCACCAATCAGTGCTCTGTGTCTAGCTAATCTAGTGGGGACTTGGAGAACTTTTATGTCCAGCTAAAGGTTTGCAAATACACCAGTCAGCACTTTGTGTCTAGCTCAAGGTTTGTAAACGCACCTATCAGCACCCTGTGTCTAGCTCAAGGTTTGTAAAGGTACCAATCAGTGCTCTGTGTCTAGCTAATCTAGTTGGGGACTTGGAGAACTTTTGTGTCTAGCTAAAGGATGGTAAATGCACCAATCAGCAGTCTGTGTCTAGCACAAGGTTTGTAAATGCACCAGTCTGTGCTCTGTGTCTAGCTAATTTAGTGGGGACTTGGAGAAGTTTTGTATCTAGCTAAAGGATTGTAAATGCACCAATCAGCACTGTGTCTAGCTCAACGTTTGTAAATGGAAGGATCAGCACCCTCTGAAAACGGACCAATCAGCTCTCTGTAAAATGGGCCAATCAACTCTCTGTAAAATGGACCAATCAGCAGCATGTGGGTGGGGTCAGATAAGGGAATAAAAGCAGGCTGCCTGAAGCAGTGGCACACCCCACTCAGATTCCTAATTGCATTGTGGAAGGTTGGTTTTTTTTTTTGGGTCCCTTTCCACATTGTGGAAGATTTGTTGTATTTGCTATTCACAAAAAGTATGCTGTTTATTGTTGGAGTCTGTGTGACATTTTTTGAGCTGTAATGTCAGTGTAAGGGTCCACGGCTTCACTCCTGAGGCCAATGAGACCAAGAACTCACCAATTCCAGACACAGTGGTATGAGGGTTGTATGTTCTCCACATTTTTGTTAACTGTTGTTTTTGTTTCTTTAAAAAAGTTATTTTTCATATATATATTTTTTCTGAGATGGAGTTTTGGTCTTGTCCAGGGTGGAGTGCAATGGTATGATGTTGACTCACTGCAACCTCTGCATTCTGGGTTCAAGCGATTCTCCTGCCTCAGCCTCCAGAGTAGCTGGGATTACAGGCATGCACCAACACACCTGGCTAATGTTATATTTTTAGTAGAGATGGGGTTTCTCCATGTTGGTCAGGCAGGTCTTGACCTCCCAGCCTCAGGTGATCCACTTGCCTTGGCCTCCCAAAGTGCTGGGATTACAGTTGTGAGAACCTGCACTCGGCCTAAAAAAGTTATTTTTGTAACCATGTTATTGTGGTATGATTTGCATTTCTGAAATGGCTGGTGTTGTTGAGTATGTTTTCCTGTGTTATTGGCTGTTTATGTATCTTCTTTGAGGAAGTGCCTATGCAAGTCCTTTGTCCATTTTGTGATTGGGTTGTCTTTCGTTATCGAAGTGTAAATACTACTTTTTTATTTTTATTTTTTAAAAAAATTTTTGTTTATTTATTTATTTTGAGACAGAGTCTCGCTCTGTCCACCTCGGCCTCCCAAAGTGCTGGGATTATAGGCGTGAGCGGCCATGCTCTGCTCAGGTTCTTATTTTTAATAGAAAAGTAGGAGAACAGGGAAGGCACACAGGTCAGTGTGAGGAAGGGGGTCATGGTAGACACGGAGGTGGAGTGTATATCTGCCTCCTCACATTATGCTAACAGGGACACAGACAGATTCAGAGGCCCTTGCAAAAAGAGAAGCCACAGTCCCTTAAGACACAAAGGGGAGGCGTGAAGAAATCCTGCATCTCAGTCGCACGCAAGGCAGCTGTCTCAGGCTACAGAAGAAAACAGTCATGAACAAATTCAGGTCAGTCACAGTAAGTGATGACACTCTGAACAGCCTACCACACACTCAAAAATTCCAAATCAAAAAATCCCCACAACCCAGTCCTGTCCCATCTGCCCCACCCTCCACCCACTTCAGACCCCCCGAATCTTACTTTTATAAGCTGTGAGAGACTCATCAGACCCCTGGGCACTGTCGCTACCTGGGGTAGAACAAAAACAAGACCTGGTTAGAGCCCACAGGAGATGTGGTGCAGGAGGAATTATGGGGTGGGCGAGCTCCTCCACACTCCCGCCCCCTACTTACATGAAGCCTGAGAGTAGCTCCATCCTTTTCTACCTGTTGGAAGAAAATGTCATGTGACGGGCCAGGGAGGAGGCAGGGCCATAAGGTCCTCGAGGAACCTCCTAGTCTTGGATCCCAGAGAAGTATCCAGAACTGTGACTGCAGACCCAGGGCAAGATCAGGAAACATGAAGAAAGCAAGTGTGGGTCCTGGACCAACTGCCCTCCTGAGGTCTGTCCCCAGCAGGGACCTTCCCCTGTGACCTGTGACTGCTGGGCTCAGATCCCCATCACCACAATCATCAAGGTGATAAATCTGTCCTTCATCGTCACAGGTACCACAGGCGCGGTGGCTCACGCCTGTAATCCCAGCACTTTGTGAGGCCGAGGCAGGTGGATCACGAGGTCAGGAGTTCGACACCAGCCTGGCCAACACAGTGAAACCCCATCTCTACTAAAAGTACAAAAAAAAATTAGCCGGGTGTGGTGGCACGCACATGTAGTCCCAGCTACTCGGGAGGCTGAGGAGGCAGGAGAATCGCTTGAACCTGAGAGGCAGAGGTTACAGTGAACTGAAACCACGCCATTGCACTCCAGCCTGGGTGACAGAGCCAAGATTCCATCTCAAAAAAAAGAGTAGGTGCTGGCACACAGGGCCCAGGCTGGGTCGGCCCATGTGTGTGGATGGTGCTTCCCAGTAACAAGGCAGGACACACTTCTACCTAGGGCTTGAAACCCCCAGTGGGACAAGAAAACTCAGACTCTACCCTTCTCCCTTCCCCACCTGAGCTGTTCCTCCTCCACATCACAGCAGCAACCACAGCTCCAGTGACCACAGCTCCAAGGAGAACCAGGCCAGCAATGATGCCCACGATGGGGATGGAGTGTTGGGAAGGCGGCTCTGGGAAAACAGGGGAACGTAAGGGGCCCTGACCCTCAGGCCTCAGCCCTGACCCTGCAAAAGGGCTTCAGAAGGGCTCCTGCTTTCCCTAAGAGACATGACCTCCCATTCCCTTCCTTACCCCATCTCAGGGTGAGGGGCTCGGGTAGCCCCTCATGCTGCACATGGCACGTGTATCTCTGCTCCTTTCCAGAAGGCACCACCACAGCTGCCCACTTCTGGAAGGTTCCATCCCCTGCAGGCCTGGTCTCCACAAGCTCCGTGTCCTGGGTCTGGTCCTCCCCATCCCGCTGCCAGGTCACTGTGATCTCTGCAGGGTAGAAGCCCAGGGCCCAGCACCTCAGGGTGGCCTCATGATCAGAGACGGGGTAGTGGGTCACGTGTGTCTTTGGGGGGTCTGAGGGGAAGAGTCACAAAATTCAGACACTTTGTATCTCTCATGGGACACCTCAGCAGCACCCATGTGACCATCCTGAGAAGGAAGAGGACAATTATAGTAGGAGACGAGGACAAAACCTTGACACCAGCCTGAACTCAGGGATCTGGGATAGCCTCTTATTCCTTGGAAAGTTCTAGAATTGGGGTGAGATAGCCCAGGATAGAAGGTGAAAAGGGATTTGTGGTCCTGGCCTGTGCGGATGCTGAGTGACTGAGAAAAGCTGGAGTCAGACCTCCAAAAACTCTTGGTGTGGGGCTGAGAACCAGGCACGAGAGAAACTCCCCCATGATTCCTAACACTGAGAGTCAAAGAGAACTGCTCATCAGTTCATTTGAAGAATGGACTCTCCAGCGAGACTAGATTCCTTAATTGTCCCTGAGAGAAGGCTGGTCATTTAAGAGAGTCACTCTCTGGTACAGGATCTCCTGTACCTGGGGTGACAGCCCCCTCTCCTGATCCAAGGGAGGAGGGGTATTCTGGCTTCCGTCCCTGCGTCTTCTACTGTTTGAGGTCTGTCAGCTGTGGGCACAGTCCTAGCCCAAGAAGGAGATGGGAGAGTAGCCCTGTGGACCCTCTTACCCGGGCGCTGCAGCGTCTCCTTCCCATTCTCCAGGTATCTATGGAGCCACTCCACGCATGTGTCTTCCAGGTAGGCTCTCTGGTGCTCCGCCTCAGAGCCATCATTTGACTTTTGCTCGGAGATTTGAGCCGCCGTGTCCACCGCGGACCAGGAGCGCAGGTCCTCATTCAGGGTGAGATAATCCTTGCCGTCGTAGGCAAACTGTTCATACCCGCGGAGGAAGCGCCCGTCGGGCCCCAGGTCGCAGCCATGCATCCACTGGAGGGTATGAGACCCTGGCCCCGCCCGCTAGTCAGTCCCGCCCACCGAGCCCCGCCCCTGTCGCCGCCAACCCGCAGGGATTTTGGCCTAAACCGAAAATGAAACCGGGAAAAGGAGCCTGGGACTCTGCCCGATCGAGGGTCTGGGCGGGTTCCGCAGCCTGGGGGTGAATCTCGGACCCGGAGACTCGAGGGGACCCGCGTTGTCCGTGAGGGATGGGGAGGGGTCGTGACCGGCGCCCCGGGCCGGGGTCACTCACCGGCCTCGCTCTGGTTGTAGTAGCCGCGCAGGGTATTCAGGTTCACTCGGAAAGTCTGTGCGGTGTCCCTGGCGCTCCGTGTCTCCTGGTCCCAATACTCCGGCCCCTCCTGCTCCACCCACGGCGCCCGCGCCTCCATCCTCGGACTCGCGGCATCGCTATCGAACCGCACGAACTGGGTGTCGTCCACGTAGCCCACGGAGATGAAGCGGGGCTCCCCGCGGCCGGGCCGGGACACGGAAGTGTGGAAATACTTCAAGGAGTGGGAGCCTAGGGGCGAGGAGGGGCTGAGACCTGTCGGGCCCTACTCCGGGCGCGGCTCTCCGAGTCCTGCGCCCCCGCCGGTCCGGCCCCTCTCTCCTCCGGGTAGAGGCCGCTTCCATCCCGACCCCGCACTCACCCGCCCAGGTCTTGGTAAGGGCCGAGAGCAGGAGAAGTAGGGTTCCTAGTGCCATGACGCCATTCTCTGAGTCGGTAGAGCCTCCTGAATCCGGGTGGGTGCGTGCGGACTTTATAGTCGGGAGTCGTGGCGACGCTGATTGGCTTCTCTAGAAACCCGACACCCATTGGGAATGCGAACTGAGTCTGCGTCATGAGTATCCAGGAAGAAGGACACGACCAGGTCACGAGAGGAAATGAAAGTGGTTTGGAATCCCCAACGCCGCGTCTCCCAGGTCTCCACACTCTGCCCTTGTGGCCTGAGACCCTGACAGCCACGCCCGGGGACCTGGAACGTTGTTCTGCGCTCTCACCTCCTGACCCGAGCGCTCTTTGTTAAACTATCTCCCTGAGTCCTGGCCCAGGGACTGTGTAAACTGTGTAAATCAGTGTTTTTTTCGTGTGTGTGTGTTTTTTGGAGCTGGGTGTGTGTGTGTGTGTGTGTCTGTGTGTGTTCGGGGGGTGGGGTGTATCGCTCCGTTGACCAGGCTGGTCTTGAACTTCTGGACTAAAGGGATCCTCCTATCTCGGCCTCTCAAAGTGCTAGGATTACCGGCATAGGATTACCGGCATGAGCCACCCTGCCCGGACTTTTTTTTTTTTTTTTTTTTTTCTAAAACAGTCTCACTCTGTCGCCCAGGCTGGAGTGCAGTGGCACGATCTCGGCTCAGTGTAACCTCCGCCTCCCGGGTTCACACCATTCTCCTGCCTCAGACTCCCGAGTAGCTGGGACTACAGGCGCCCGCCACCGCGCCCGGCTAATTTTTTATATTTTTAGTAGAGACGGGGTTTCACTGTGTTAGCCAGGATGGTCTCGATCTCTTGACCTCGTGATCCGCCCCCCTCACCCGCCCAAAGTGCTGGGATTACAGGCGTCAGCCACTGCGACCCGCCTACCCGGCGATTTTGTTTTTGTATTTTGTAGAGTGGGGTTTTCGCCATGTTGCCAAGGCTAGTCTCAAACTCCTGGGTTCAAGCGTTTCGTCCACGTCGGCCTCCCAAGGTACTGTGTTTACAGGCGTGAGCCTGTATTGTTAAATACTGTATTGTTTTAAATCCCAAAGTGTTGGAATTACCGGCGAGAGCCATCGCCCCCAGCAATTAGCCCGCCGTTCTTAAACTTTTAGGTTTCAGTATCTCTGTGCACTCTTAGAAATTAGTGAGGACCCGGCTGGGCGCAGTGACTGAAGCCTGTACTCCCAGCACTTTGGGAGGCCGAGGCAGGCTGATCACCTGAGGTTGGGAGTTCGAGACCAGCCTGACCAATATGGAGAAACCCCATCTCTACTAAAAATCCAAAAAATTAGCCGGGTGTGGCGGCGGCGCATGACTGTAATCCTGCCTATTTGGGGGATAGAGGCCTGGCTATTTGGGAGGTAGAGGCAGGAGAATCGCTTGAACCCAGGAGGTGGAGGTTGCCGTGAGCCAAGATCCCGCCTTTGCCCTCCATCCTGGGTAACAAGAAAAAAGAAATTAGTGAGGACCCAAATAAATTTTGTTTCTGTGGCTTGTGTCAAGTTTTATCATATATAAATTAAAACAGATTAAAACAAAATATTAAAAATATTAATTCATTTAATATAATATTAATAACCCATTACATGTTAATGGAAACAACATTTTATTTTATTTTATTTTATTATTTTATTTTATTTTATTTTATTTTATTTTATTTTATTTTATTTTGAGTCAGAGTCTTGCTCTGTCCGCAGGCTGGAGTGCAGTGGAACGATCTCGGCTCACCGTAACCTCCTTCTCCCGGGTTCAAGCGATTCTCCTGCCTCAGCCTCCCCAGTAACTGGGACTACAGGCGTGCGCCAGGATGGTCTTGATCTCTTGAGCGGAAATAACATTTTTAATGCAAAAAACCCACCTAACTTTTAATTTTTCCAAAATTAACAATGTATAGGCAGGGCACGGTGGCTCACGCCTGTAATCGCAGCATTTTGGTAGGCTGGGGAGGGCAGATCACGAGGTCAGGAGTTCAAGACTAACCTGGCCAACATGATGAAACCCCTTCTCTACTAACAATACAAAAATTAGCTGGGTGTGGTGGTGCACGCCTGTAATTCCAGCTACTCGGGAGGCTGAGACAGGAGAATTGCTTGAACCCGGGAGGTGGTGGCTGCAGTGAGCTGAGATCACACCACTGCACTCCAACCTGGGCGACAGAGGGAGACATCCGGGGAAAAAAACAAGAAACAAAAAACAAAAACAAAAACAGAAACAAAAAAACAGGATCTGATTCAAGAAGTTGCCTTTAAGGTCAAACCAGCTGAGACTCGTTACAACCAAGAGAGCCGGCCAAATGACTTCAGAAAGACCTCACGCTTCATTGTAATCCCCTTTCCAAGCTAAATTGCACTCCCATCCGTGCCATGACAGTTGACAATCTCCATGACAGTGAGTAGAAGTCCTAAAAGGACCGAAAGGAAAGCAGTATTACCGGTTTGGAGAAGTTCAATGCCTGTTCCCATAAAACATATGAATATTCCTCCCCTTCACTTTTAATGCCCAGCCCCTCCATTAGAGCAATACTACGTTTTAGCCCCCTCACTCCTCACTAGCCGCCTCACTAGCGGAGAAGTTGACTGGGGAGAGTTGTTCTCGTCTTTAGAAGTCCTGTGCAGGAAATAAAGCTTGCTCTGCTTGAGGCTCACTTTCGGTTTCATGTATTGGCTCTGCGACTCCCAATGAGGAAAGATCCCACCTTCTGCAGCTACCAAGATTTTTGGTAACAAGAAGAGTGATTATTTTTCATTTTCGTAAGTGTCGTTCTTGGAAAATTTTGCAAGCGTCATTTTGGCTCATAGCATACATTCTCTTCTTTACTAGTTTTTAAAATTTTGACTTTTATTTTAGATACAGGGAGTGGCCGGGCGCGGTGGCTCACGCCTGTAATCCCAGCACTTTGGGAGGCTGAGGCAGGTGGATCACCTGAGATCGGGAGTTTGAGACCAGCTGGATCAACATGCAGAAACCCCGTCTCTACTAAAAATACAAAAGTAGCCGGGCGTGGTGGTGCATGCCTGTAATCCCAGCTACTCAGGAGGCTGAGGCAGGAGAATCGCTTGAACCCGGGAGGCGGAGGTTGCGGTGAGCCGAGATCACGTCATTGCACTCCAACCTGAGCAATAAGAGTGAAACTGTCTCCAAAAAAAAAAAAAAGATACAGGGGGTACATGTGCTGATTTGTTACATGGGTATGTTGTCTGATGCTGAGGTTTGGGGTATGGATCCTGTCACTCAGGTA